AGGGAACAACTATTCAACCTAATTCAACGGCGGGGAGTGGTGGGAGTTATTGTTGGTTCTTGCTTGGAGGAAAGTCTTTACTAATGAAGAAGTGGACAGGGAACAACTATTCAACCTAATTCAACCTTAGATCTTTACAATGGATCAAGGGAGAGGATGGTGAGGTGTCAACTTTTTCTTTCGGATGGACTACAGGATCCTATCTCTAGCTTACAGTATGGTTAAAATCTGAAAACTGATGAAACCGTAACTAACAGGTATGATTTGAAGAGTTTTTGAGTTTGTTTAACTAAAAGTCAAACCAAACTGATTATAAGTGGTACAAGTTTTGGTTACTAAGTTTAAAAACTAAAATATTGATAAGTAGGGTGAGTATAACTAAAAAATTTAGAGCAAAAACCTTTTATATAAATTTTTTAGTGGTTTCTAGATTTTTTTTTTTTAAGATTTTCTATTCTCTTTTCATCAAATTACTTATTTATTTAGATAATTTGTAATTTTTTCATGATTAAAAATAACAAAATAATAATAATAATTCAAAAATACTAGAAAACATAAAAAATAATTTTTTAATTCAAACCAATACTAATATGAATGTTTACTCTCAACAGTGTAACAGAAATTGATAAAATTTGTATTTTTTTGGTTTGGTTCATGATCACTGAAATTAAAAACCCTCAACTTTGGTTAATTAATAGCTCGGTTTTGGTTACAACCAAAATTAAAATGTATCCACTAAAACTATTTCAGTCAATATTTTTGTCCAAAATTAGATATTTCAACTCTACAAATCAAGTAAAACTTCTTAAATATTCCACCAAAAACAATTTTGGTCAAAATGCTTATCTAAAATTAGATATTCTAACTCTAAAAATCAAGTGAATATCTTGAATTTTTCAAAATAATCCCCTAATTTTTTTAAAGTTAAAATATAATTATTTGAGGTAAAATTCTTCTCCAAAATAACATTAATTATATTTAATTATTTCGTAATTAAATTCGAAGAAACTCTTGTCGAATTATATTAATATTTTAATAGTATATTAATTTGGTCAAGATTTTCACCGAATTAGTCAAATAAAGAAGTTTCCTTAATTACATTTTCTGGTTAAATTTTTTGGCCAAAATTGTCCACTTTTTGGGGCATAGATACCCAGAAGTTTCTGATGTCAATTATGGGATAAATGCATATTAATTTGGTCTAGATTTTTTACCGAATTAGTCAAATAAAGAAGTTTCCTTAATAACATTTTTTGGTTAATTTTTTCGATCGAAATTGTCTACTTTTCAAGATATCGATACCTGGAAGTTTCTGTTGCTAAAAAAAGAGATAATTCATCTTTAAAAAACAGTAGATTTTGAGGGAAGCAAGCAAAAAACTATTAAAATTATTTGAAGAGATGTTAGTTGCAAGGTGTGTATAATCTAATTTCACCATTCAATCCAAAATAATAATAATAATAATGAAAAAAAAAACTAAAAAATTTACACTAGAAATTCTTCGAAGAAAGGAATTTATGTTACATCTATTAATAAATGTTATTTTATAAATTAACTTTATAATTTAAGTTTTGTGATTATCACTTAAAAAAATAATTTTTTAAATACATCACATTAATAACATTGTACCTTTAAAATCATTCAAAATAAATTAATTTTAAAGTGCATAAAAATT